AATAACAATAAATTTGTATAATATCAAAGGCGGTCGACAAGGTTTTGTTTTTATTTCAGTTATGCATTGTTTGAAGCATGTTTTTATGTCGTTTTTCTGAGTGTCTTTAACTTGCCCTGTGTTTTTTTTTTTTTCAAGAAATCGATATTTGCTGACCGGCAAATAATTTTGGCAAATATTACAACAATATTTCGGGCCTCTGTCCGTTAGGGAATAGCCTCAACATCCTTTTGGGGGAGGTGAAATGTGTTCGATTTTCGATCGGCAAGGAGCAGAGCGAGGAGTGGGTGGTTTTATGACATTGCCTGACAAGTTTATGCCACCAAAGTTGCATATGCAACCACCCAGCTGGGTCGTAAAGCCAACTGGCAGGGAAGGCAAGGCCAGGCCAAAAGGGCGGCACACACTTAATGGCAATAATAAAGTGGCGCAGGCATTCAACACTTTGTCAGTGGCTTTCGCGCTGTCTGGCCGCATTTATCATGCCACTCGGGCTCCAGACTATTTTGACAAGTTATCAAAATGAAATGCAGCCAACAAGTTGCCTGTGCCACAAGGCAGCTAGTCAGACAGACAGACTCCCCTTTCTTGTCCCTGTCATAATCTCCTCTGGGAAAAGGGGAGCGGGGAATGAGCTCTCGACAGACGACAAGTGTATTTATGTTATGATTTGAATACCGCTAATGACAGCCAGACTCGGCAGCATCTTTCGGGTGGCTCTGCAGACAGTTGGACAGATGGATATGGAATATGGAGGGGGGATTCCGGAATCCACATTTTCAGCGCCCCCATCAATCCGCTGCTGCGGTGTAGGTATTTTCACACCTCAGCGATTCGAAATTAGAATCGATCTGGGAATGCCTTTGGCGTGAGCTGCAATTGAACATCGTCATTATGGTGCCCATAACGCTGCCTATAAGATACCATTCCTATTCCTTGCATCTTCGTTCTGTGCGTGTGGCATCGTTTCCTTCAAATGCAAATGATGCCACTATCTGGAACTCGAACTCCATCGGCGGGACGAGGGGAGTGAGTTACGATTACGATGCCGCGATAATATCAAGCTTTATAAATTTATTAGGGCCAGCTATGTGGCAGAGAGCCAGATATATTTAGCCAGATGGATAAATAGACACACACGACTGCACTGATAGCACGTGTAACTCTAAATCAGATAGAAACTGGAGATTTTTGTGATATTTATATAAAGGTATGTTTAGAACACTTAATTTAAAAAATATATTAATTAAATATCTTCAATAGGTTAAGTCTTATAATGATTTAGTTGACCTAAAGTCGAACTTCCGTAACTCGAACTACAAACTGTCACCAAAATAAGTTCGAGTTATGAAAAATTCTAGTTAAAGAATTGTGTATACCTGCATTAAAAATTTTGATTGTAAATAAAACTAGTCCAACTCATAGAGCTTTTAAGTTCGACAGTGTTTCAATTAAAGAAATTGGATTGTGAGTAAACAGCCGAACTGTGTAGACATTTATATATATTGCATTTTAAAGTAATCTCGGTACTTTAAGCAAAACTCTTATATTAAACCCACACTGAGACATCCCTCAATCGGCGACTCCATCTTGAAGAGAGCTCAACCAGTCACCGATCTTCAATCCATAACAACAACAGAAACTTCAAAAACAATAACAACAGCGACAGGGAGATCGCGGTACGAGAGCAACTTGCAACTTGCAACATCATCGACTTCAGCAGCAGCAGCAGCAGCAACATATTGGCAAAAGGCAGAGCAAAAGCCGCCGAATGCCTGGCAAGGACAACATGAATAATCCATTTTTCGAAACACTTGTCCAGCACCGACCTCGTCCGCCACTCCGGGGCGATCATAGATACAGGGACGGGATATGGGCTCCTCCGTCCATCGTAGGTGTTGTCTAGATCTTGGCCACGCATGTGAGCGGCAGCAGGAGCCAAGGCAAGTCAAGGAGTCAAGGCTGGCAGCGACACCAGCGCCGAGATTAAAGATTCCTCCATAAACAAACAAGCGAAATAATTGAGGCAAAATTGAAGCAAACTACTCGAGGGAGGTGGATGCAATGGCAGCGAAGGCTGTGCCTCGAAAACCAGTTCGGATTCGCGGTGCAACAATTAGCACGGAATTTGTGGGTGCCATAAAACGCGCTACACGATGGCCGCTTGTTCTCTGGAGACGAGAGACCATTCCCATTCCCATTTCCATTTTCATATCAATAAAACTGCAGTGTCGATTGCCGTGTCTTTTCCAGGGACTAACGGTGGTTCCACCGCCCAACTATCAACTTTCCTTTCGAGGCGCCCAATTAGGCACACTTATACTTATTGGCTTGAACAAAAATTCTGGTAAAAATATGTAAAAATAAATATAAACAAATAAATAAAAATAAATATTTTATATTCTTTGAGAAGTTTAATTCGTAAATAATATGTTCGACATATTTCTTATATGACATTATATTTCCATTAAACTGCAATATCAGCTGACTATCACTATATATTTAAAATATTTTATTTTAAAATATTGTTCATATTATAGTTATAAAACGAAGTGAGTATTTAAGAACTATTGCAAACATAACTAATAGACTAACTAGTCAGGCAAAACTCTGATGGTAATTCTTGTTAAAGTCAGGTCCCAGATAAAAAGACAAGTTTTAATATTAATAAATATTTTTAAGTAATTATGTATGAATAAAGAAGGCTTTACGATATGTGATTCTTGAAATTATAATTGGCTCAAATTTCAATGTGTTAAAAATGAGATAACATCTATATCCCCCAAAAATTGTGTAGACTTAAAAGAAAATTCTGTACAAATTAAATAATTGTAATTGTGTAATTACCTGTGTTTGTCAGGTTATATACAGATTTAATAAATGACAAGCAAAAACAGAAATGGATAAAGCTATTTGCCTAACCTTTACAAATTTAAAGTTTAAATTGAGGATTTTAAAATAAATAAGAAACAAAATAGTAAAGCCCAAAATCCTTTTTGTGTCGAGTCTTAGAAAAAAAAGGTGACAATTATGCCACAAAATATTTTCCCATATTTATAAAACTACGTTATCGACCAGGGGGACTCCCAAAACTCGCTTAACTGGCGCCCAATTAGACACACTTCAAAGTTCGCCACGGCATGCGAGTCCCGCGCTCTCGGTGGCCATCAAACGAAAAATCATAATTCCCCGGGAAATATTCCTGCCTCGGAGTTGGGGCTGGGTTATTATTCATAGACCGTTTTCGGACGACGCGTCGCATGCAGACAGAGTTAATTACGCGCACAGATCAAACAAATTGCACGCAAAATAAATATAATGCAGCCCGAAGATAGAACCCGGGAGCAGGCTAGCGAAATGAGGTTATTAAGATGCCCGACGACTGCCAACCGGCGGGCGAATTATGATCGTGAAAATTATGTCTGCGCATCAGCGTGATCTTGAAATTCAACATAGAAGGAGCTCCGGACCAGACATGGCACAATTTCTCATCGCTCATTTCGATGCAGGAGGCCGGATTCGTTAGCCACCACCCATTTCTCGGTCCAGAGTTAATGGCTCCAGCCGTGGGGCTGTTAATAGTCCCCGGATCTCCATCCCCCCCCATCGTTTTCCCATTCGAGACACTTTACGGCCGCATATGAAATATGTGCGCCCATGAAATGAGCTAAATTTCTCGGGAAAAGTGCAACATTGTGGAAAATGGAATTGCCAACAAAGCAACATTCGTGCTGCAATGCCAAAACAGTGTTTATGTGCAAGTTCATGGCTGGAATTCGCAGACTGCCAAAGGAAAATTTGAAGTAGCGAATATTCACTCCCGGGAAACGTTTATAGGAATCTGCGCGCACCTTGAAATATATTAATTACTTTCAATTCATAATATAAATGAGTCGCATTTAAATCCGAATATATCTGCCGAGAATTTCAAAGTAGCATTTAAATTTACATTATAAGATTATTTTAGTTTAAAGGGTATTTGCTTTTTAACCCACTAATAAAATAAATATTTTTTTTAATTAAGTTATTATCAGACACGCATCGTTAGTTAGGCTAGCTCTTGTGAAATAAAAATGAAAATAAGTTTAACCAAAAATTCTAAAAGAGACATCCTCCATTTAATAATTTCAATTATGAAAAGCTATAAAATCCTTTCTATAAAATAGTTATTGGATTAAATAAATAAATGTTCCTAATTTGTACACGGTTTTTATGATTCATTGCAAATATCAATGGCAAATATAATTATATTTGTGTACGTAAACTTTAAAATACTAAAGTTTTTGGAATCAAATAAATGAAAATTTATAGTTTGTCTGAATTTTATAATTTAAAATTTTAAATGGAAAATAATATTACAATATTTTTGAGCAGACGATTTATCCGTAGATCTCTTCAACATTTATATATTTCTTCAACTGTTGTGCTCAACACTTATTCGCAATTATTTCATGGGGGATTTATATCTCACCCTGTGCCCCACATGAGCCATTTACCCGGGTAAACCCTGGTCGAGTGCATCGGGTCGAGTCTATTGTTTTGGCAGACAGCGCCTGTCATATTTGGCGAACATTTATAATTTGCGGCGACATCAAGTTGTTGCGGTCTAGAAATTATTATTTGTTGCATTGTCGTCGCGGGAAGAGGCGCTGCCAAAATGACAAGGGAATAATTAAAAGTTTGTGAGACGAAGAGACTCGAAGACTCAGAGATACAGAGACACTTCGACCAAAATTCGTCTGGGCAAATGAATCAAAAAGAAAACATCTGTTGGGAGTGGCCATGGGATGGTGGGAAATATCTAAAGACGAGGGCGAGGGCGTCTTCGCGAAGGGAATGGGATGATGGATGGGCTGCGCGTGGCATGTGGCACGATCGAGGGAGGCGCACTTACCGAAGCTGCCAATTTGCATGAATTTATTGAATCCATCGTTAATGCGATCCCCGATTCTCAGCGGAATGCTGCCCACTTCCCGGAAGAGAAACGTCACAACATATTCTTTGCAATTTCGCACGCCGGCTTTATTTTTGATCATTTTCGTCGCGGTTTCGATTTCAATTTTTTATATGCAACTACCACAGTTTACATTACGTGTATTTATCGTTATATGTATTTAAATATATCTAGGTATAGCCATACAATTAGTTAAGTTCTGACCTTGCAGCCTGCCTGATCCGGTTGAAGAGATTCCTTCCTCGATCCGCTATTTTTACAACTTACCGGCTAAACTTAATGCATTTAAATGCCTTGAAGATCGCTATCAATTAACCGTACTATATATATATATATATGTATAGACACAAAGGATATATTCGTATATGTGTGTGTGTGGGGGGGTTGTGTTTGAGTTTAAGTTTGTGTCAGTGCTAGTTGAAGCTTAGCGTAGGGTAATGCTCAAGATATGTACTCCACAAAAACCATGTGTGTTCCAAGACTAAGATCTCATCAGTTACTTCTCCGCATCTCCGGACTCCGACTCCTCGATGTCCCCTCCTGTGGCCTCCACATCCGCCTCCGCCTGATCCTCCTGCTCGTTGAAGCCGCCCAAGGCCTCGTTCGGATTGCTCTCCACCTTGATGCGACTCAGTGGATGCCAAATGCTGCCGGACCCATCGTCCTCCCTCAGCGAAGGACTCTGGGCCGGCTCCGGCGTGGGCGACTTGCTGCTGCTCCTCCGCTCCATGCTGTAGGGATGCTGGGCCAGGAAGCCAGGGAATCCGAGGAGTCCGGGCGGATAGGGATACTTCCCGCCGTTGGCGAAGGGCGGCGGGGGAATATTGGGAAAGGCGCCGGGACTCAGTTCACAAGGCTGTAAAAATTACAGGAAATTGGGGAGAAAACAAAGGTCGGATGTTATAGAGAGTGTATTAGCCCAAGAAATAAGATACCAATTAATAACTTACTAATTTGCTATATATAATAACGAATTTAACTAACAGTCAAATAATGTTAAACTAATTGCAAGTTAACATCTGACCAACAGTTCGTTAATATCGAACTAATTGTCCGTTAACATGTAACTAACAGTCAGTTAATATTATATTAAACTAATTGTCAGTTAACATCTATTTAACAGTGAAGTAATACTACTTAGGTAAATAGTTTTAAAAACGTCTTAGAACATTACATTATAGATTCGAAAAAAGTCTTAACTTTCTCACCTTAGGCGGCAATCCGTTGAAGAAGGGCGGCAGGTAAGGAAAGAAGAGCTCCGGTCGACGCTGCATGAACTCCTGTTCGGCATTCGACCCCGGATGACCAGCTCCCGAGTTCGGACCAGGTCGCATGGGAAGCTCCAAGGACATGCGACGACCTCGCCGCGAAGTGGGGTTCGTCCACATGTGGGTGCCCATATGCACCTGAAAGTTACAAAAAACAAAAAAAAAGGGAAACCGAGAGAAACTCATCTTAGAAAAGAGCATAAAGTAGATGAGTATCCCATGCTGTACCTTGAGGTTCCCCTTCGTGGTGAAGGCCTTCTGGCACACATTGCACTGGAAGGGCTTGTCGCCCGTGTGGGTGCGCATGTGGATCTGGAGGGCGGAACTCGAGCTGAAGTTCCTGCGGCAGACGTGGCAGAAGTGCTTGTTGTTCACCGGAGGATCCAAGCTGGAGGTCGGAGGACCTGCGGACATCAGAGCCTGCTGAAAGTCGAGCGGACTGGCCGGAAAACGATGGGCATCTGGTGGGGAGATACTCTTAGGATTCTAGAGCGGAGACTCGGGTGGGAAGTAACTTACGGAGCTGCATCTTCATCAGGGACTGCTCGGCATCACCTGCTTCCTGTGGATAGCTAGAGCCAGCTCCATTGCCCGATCCTTCTCCAGCCGATCCACCCTCGTCCACCGCCAACTGCTCCTGGTCGGGGTCTTCTTTAATGGACGTCGCTGGGGGAACTTCGGGGGGAAAGGGCAGGGATGAGGCCTCCGGCAACTTGTCACCCGATGACGACGACGACGAAGGCGGCTTCTTTGCAAACAGATTTGGATTGAGAGTGAGCTGCAATGCGATGGGATACAAAGTTACGGGGCGAGATATGTACATACTTTCGCGACGGGCGCTAATTTCTGCGCATTTTCAGTTAAATGTGCCGTTAATACAGACTCGCGCCTCTTAATAATCTTATTTTCGAGCAGAGAGAGAGCCAAAAACATAATTTACAATTTTTCTATGCCATCGCGTGTAATAATACCAACTAATTATCTCGCGCAGACGATGCCGCCGGGTCTCATATTTTTATGGCAAAACAATTGTTCGCCAAAAGGGGGAGTCTGTGCGAGGGATTGGGGATGGGGATAAAACAGAAACTGCGTGGTGTTTTCAGTGTCCCCAGCACACGCGACGAACAAAAGATTAAATAATTTTGCATAAAGCGTAGCATAATTTATTTGCATTGAATGCATCGCACACACCGTCACCGATCCGGCACAGGCTCCTCTATATCTTTCCCCTATATCATCTCACCCAACCTCCCGAAAAGTCCAACAGACCTCGCCCCAATCCAGAGCACAAACATACCAGACGGAGTCGTAAATTTCGCATCATCATAATGCATTCTCGTAATTACTTAAGATTTTTGAATCATTTAGAAATTTCAAGCCCAAAAGATGATGCCGATTCCCATCCCAATCTCCAACCTCCAACTCCCGGACCATCCCGATCCGATGTTCGTCTGCTCTAGATCATCAACAATGTGCTAAGCGAGCAAATCGGAACGTGGCCAGTCGTTTTCAGACGAAGGGGTGCAAGTGCCTCTGTCGCTCCACTGGCGTTGCCAAAAGGAAAATAGGGACTTGCTGATTACCAACTGAAAATGTTATGACATTTACAATGCACTCTCATTTCAGCCACTAACAAGGAGCGGTTCAATTTACGTTAGGGTTTAAAGAAATAGAACAGAAGATCCAACCTGTTTTATATATGTTGTGATTTAGGGTCAATAGAAGACAATTAGAAATTATTTTATTTCATGTTCTTTTTCTACAAATCTTAACCTTATCGATACAGGCTTTTTACCAAAAACAATCAAATATCTATGGCAATTTTGGGTCAAAAATGTTTTGATTTTAAGCAATGCTAATAAGGATCTACAGCATTTTTAATAGTAATGGTAAAAGTAAGCCATTCTAAAATATCATCTATTCCTGGATATGCAACTTAAAATTGAAACAGATTCCTTGAAATTCCGTATACGTTTTTAAAGCACAGCTATTTGAACCATCAAAATAAAATTATTAAATAAAACTAAATAACTATTTTGTTTTAATTTTTCCTGCCCACCTAAATAGGAAACCGCCCCTGTGAAGAGTTCTCAAATTCCGTCCCTGCGACGAGACGTTCGCTTTCAATTTTGGAAATTCTCCAAGAATGTAAGCCATAATGAACGATGTCATTAGTCATAGAGAGACAATGCCGCAGTGCTGCGTGCCCCGGCCAGAAATAAATATTAATACTCGCATTTGTACTTAAATTATGGGCAGCCACAGCAGAACCACTCCATATGCCTGAGCAGCGAACGCACTTTAATAAATAATTGGCATTGTTGGGCGATGTAATCCGGGCACTTAAAGCTCTCTCCTCCGCAGATGAACCTGGGAGTCCGGCAGTCTGGGAGTCTGGGCTTGCAGCTCCAACTTGGGCGAGTGGAGGCCGCAAAGCGGAACGCCAACAATTAAGGCAAGCTATGCAAGTTGGCCACAATTTCTTCATAATAAAGCCCGGCCAGTGACGAGGCGAACACATCGGGCAATTAATAATGTGCTCATAATTTGTATGGTCGCGGCCAAAACGGGCTGTGCTCCATCCATCCATCCATATTTGGCCAAATCAAGCCAGCCCCAGGAGCGAGCTGAACCCGTGAACATTTTAATTAATCATGACCAAGGCAGGCCGGGGAATCGATTCCGACTCTCGCTGCCAGATGGCACTGGTTCTCAAAGCGAGAGTTGAGGTGGGATTAGGCTAGCTGGATGTGATGTAAGTGCCACCATATTGGGGCAGGGAATGCTGCTCAATGCTGAACTAAGGAGGTGATTAGTGGACTGCATCGGAAAGGGAAACTAAATGTTTGAACTAAGTGCGGTTGATTAATAAAATGATCCTTTGCTAGAAACTGAGGATGTCGGATGATATTTTTAAGCCATTTCTAAGCATAGTCCTAGAAGATATAGGTGTATAAAGATATATAATATATGCTTGGAAGCAGGATCAGTAACTCAGTCTTAATGTCATGATAAGGTAATCTCTCAAAGAAAGTTAACAGGAAGTCAAATTGTTCGGAAGCACAAATAAGTTTTCTCAATATTTTTCAAAGAATGAATATTTATCATACTCTAATATAATGTTGAACGCTTCCGAAACAGTGGTTAAACTCAATGTCAAAACCTAACATGCCATTGAGAAATCGGCAATAAAAGTATAATACATTAAATTTTACTTCACTGTCTGACCCTTGCAAACGGCATAGTTGCAATAGACATATTGTCCCTAAAGTTCGTAGGATTAATCCATTAAGCTTGGCACTCACCTTGGCACCGTACGGCGATCCAGCGTCACTGCAGTGGGGGCGGAGGGCGTGGCCCGGCGCCGGTTCTTTGGCATGATCGCTCTGCAGATGGGCCTCCAGGGCGGCCAGGCTGGGCAGCATCTTGAAGCAGAGATTGCACACATTGGGGGGCGGGTGCAGACCTGATGGAGATGGGAAATGGAGATGTAGACAAAGAGTTACTCGCGAGGTCAGTGGGGGACACATAATTCCCGCCACGTGCTGCCGAATGTCGCTCGCCGCGATCGCAGATATAATAAATATCCGTCCGCGTAAAAGGTTGTGACATAATGAGGCGACAGATCGCTGCTCGATCGCTTGCGCCTCTGCGCCTCGATTCGGGAATGCGCCAATGTTTATAAATAAATTGCGGAATTTGGCATAGGCAGATCAGACTGGGATTGGGATGGAGCTGGGCGGAGTGCTGCCAAGTGCTCTGCGAATGCTTTGTCCCGGTCCAATTGAGTTATGTCGCGCCCAGATCGCAGATTTATCGCACTGCCACTGCGAGTTGCTTGGCAAACGCTGACGGGGTCAAAGGTGGCAGACAAAGAGGCTTTGTCATCTCGTATCCCCGAAGCGGATGGATAAAAAAGTTAATGTCAAGACGCAGTTCGTTGGATTTATTTATACATCTTTGGACCTGACAAAGCATACGCTGGCTAAATAAAACTATAAAGCAATGGAATTGAATGGGTTGCCCATGAAATGTGAGTCTAATTGTCTGAATAAATTTAGGAAAGTTTCTATGTATTTTTGTCCATTCAGGGCTGATACAAAATTGATCGCATTTAAAAAGTGGTATTTATATCTAAGAAACGGAATAATAATTCCTATTTAAGTCATATAAGTTTATACTTAAGAAAGAACAGGACATTTGCAGACAGACCCTTTATAAACCTTAAAATGTGCAATTTTCAATTCAAGTACTCTTAGCCTTAAATAAATATTCTAATAAAGATTAATAACTCACCCATAAATCCAAGAGGACCGAAGGGCAGCAGGGGGAATTTGGCGTGAGCGTGACCTAGAGCGTGCATTTCCTCGCGGGCGGCTGCCATGAGCAGCAGATTGGGGGCATGGGCATTCCGAGCATGGGAAGGCCACCGGCCCCCGATCCTCCACCGGCAGATCCATTGGCCAGCCCAGATCCGAAGATGCGACCGGAGGCCGAGGAGGGCGAGGAGAGATCCATGGCGGGCATTTCCCCACTCTCGCTGCGAACTCCGGCCAGATCGGGATTGGAATGAGATCTCTCGTCGGAGCCATCGTTGGGGATCCTTCGATCCCGATCTCGTTCCCGTTCGCGATCCTTCTCCCTGTCCCTTTCCAGCGGATGGGGCGTGGCTGTGGCCGCACTGGAGTTGTCCCGGGAGTCGTCAGTGCTGTCCATGGTCATGAACTCATCGAAGTCCCCGCCTTGCGAGGACTCGGATCTCTGGCCCGAGTGGTCCGAAATGGTGGTGGAGAAGTCCAGGGTGTCTGAAGTGCCCATTGACTTGTTCGAGTTCTGATCCTCGATGCCCAGACGCTCAGCCTCGCCAGGATTGCCCGGAGGAGCTCCCTGGCCACCGCTGCCATCGTCCATGGTGTGGATGCGGATGTGTTGCTGCAGGATGATGCCGTTGGAGAACTTCTGGTGGCACACGGGACACTTGAACTGGCTCCTCATCGGCGGCTTGATCTTGTGTATGCTCATGTGGGCCTTCAGGTTCCCCTTCGTGGCGAAGGCCCTGCCGCAGATCTTGCAGCGGAAGGGACGCTCGCCCGTGTGGGTGCGGATGTGCATCTGCAGGGAGCTGCGACAGGACATGACCTTCTGGCAGAAGATGCACTGGTTGGGATCGGTCAGCTTGTTCTCGATGTTGTCCACCAGCTGCTGCAGCTTCGAGGTCTCGGAGGTCTTGTCGATCTCAATCAGGTCCTCCCACGACTTGTCGATGATGCGCTCCATTTGGGCGAGCGAGTACTCCGCCGGCTGCGATTCCCTGCTGGCCGAGGAGCGTCTCACGAGCTTGGCTATGTGCAGGTGCTCGGCGAGATCCCGTTCCCTGTCCTCCTGGGGCGGACTCCCAGCGCTGCTTGTCTGTCGCTTGCGAACAGAGCCGTTGCGTCGTGACGGGGTCACCACTGGTTTGGTGACCTCCTTTTCGGGCTTCTCCGGTGACGGTTGTTGAACGTCTGGCTTAGCCTCCTTGGGCGTCTTGACACGCTCCACTGGGGAGTGGGACTTCTCCTTCTCCTTATCCTTGACCACTGGTTTGCTGAGATCCTCGGCCTGCTGGGCTGGAACCTCCAGCCTCACTTCCTCTGGCTCATCCACTTGGTGCTGGACCTGCTCCTGAGCTCCCGCCGGTGCCACTGGAGGCACGAAGGGCAGGCGAATGGGATACTGCTCGGCCTGGACTTGACCCTGCCCCGAATGCCCCACGTTGGGCGCCACACCTGGGGGCAACAGCATGGGCGGAAAGATCTGCGTGTGCCGCTGGTAGTGGACCTTCAGATTGCCCTTCGTGGTGAACTTGCTGCCGCAAACGTTGCAAACGAAGGGCCGCTCACCAGTGTGGGATCGCAGGTGAATCTGGAGGGCCGAGTAGCTGCCGAAGATCTTCCCGCAGTACTTGCAGCGGTGCTTGAAGATCTCCCCGCGACTTTGGGCCTCCTTGGAGGCGTACTCCGAGTACTCCTCCTGCATCTGGGCGGCGTGTAGACTTTGGGAGGCCGAGTCCAGGACCTCCTCCGTTCTGCGCTGCAGCATCTCCAGGCAGTTGGGCTCGTTGGGAGCTGGCGGGGGATCGTGGTTGGTGATGATGCTCGAGGCCAGGCTCGAGCTGATGTCGCACATCATGGGTTGGTAGCCCTCCGGCTCCGCCTTTCTCTCCTCAGTTCCCCTCTTGTCAGTCTTTGAACTCTCCTCGCGCCGCCGCTCCTGCTCCTGATCCCGATCCTGATCCTGCTCCAAGTCCTGCTCCTGCTCTAGCTCCTGCTCCTGCTCCTGCTCCTCCTTCAGTCCATTCGCTGGCTGCTTCTTGGCCTCTACCTCGTCCTCCTCCTCGTCGCTGTGGGTCGGCCTGCCCAAGGCGGCGGCCTCGGCCCTTTTCAATTGACTCTGCAGGTGCTGGATGAGCTGCAGCTGCATCAGATGCTGCCGCTGCACATTGAAGATGGTGGACTGCACCATGGCCAGGTCGGGCGACTGGTGGCCACCTGCACCGGCCATCGCCGAGGCCGCGAACTGGGCCACCGCCACTTTGGTATGTTGTAGGGCCTCCAGCGAGACGTGACCACTGCCCGGCAGCGATCCCCGGCCACTGGACGAGATCAGCGAGAGGTCCAGGGCCTCGTTGCTGTTCTCCGGCTCCTGATCCTCGCCGTGCTCCTCGGGCAACTCCCGTTCCGTGTCGGACTCTGGAACCGCCTCCGTTTCCATTTGCGGCTCGGTGCCATTGTTGTTGCTGTCCGCATCCAGTTCCTTGGCCAGCAGGACGTCTCTATCCCTCTCCCTCTCCCTATCCCTGTCCCGATCCCGGTCCCTTTCCCGCTCCCCGCTGCCGCTCCTGGTGCTGCCAGTCCCACGGTAATTGATGCGGTTGCGAAATATTGAACACATTATCCTCTCGATCGGAAGCACTCACCTCCTGATCCCAATTGCCGCTGAAGTCTGTTCATGGACTGCACCCTGGAAACGAAAGGTGGGGAAGATATAGGGAAACTCTTTTATGACACGCTCGATTTCCCATTTTCCAGCCAGTAACACTGATCAACAAATGTTGGTTATGTGTGGAAAATGGAGCTGTTTTAAGCATTTAAACTATTAAATAAAAAAGCATTATATGAAAAGATATGAATAAGTGGTAAATATATCCTTATGAATAGGTTTTTAGTATCTTTGACTAATAGCCAAATACTAGTAAGTCACATCCATTCCTAGGCCCATAGAATTAGGCCAAATTACACACATCAAAAGCGAGTTGCGCAGTGTAATTTACCAAGATATATGCATATGGCCGGTTCGCCACGTAAGACTTTATGATAAATTTTTGAATATATGAATAGCGGCGTGTCGCAATTTTAGACGTTGAATAAATGAACTGGGCGCATATGGTTAGTCGCGTATAACTTAATATCAGCCTCAGATCTCCGATCTGGATCCGCGGCGGGAGTGAGAATTTGGATATTACGGAGTTGGCGTGGACTCCTGACCGGGTTGGAGGAACCCAAAAGAGCTTTGCATGAGATATTCGCGTAAGAGTGGGTAATTTATTGATTTATTACACGGAATCACTCAGCATAACTTTGGGCCTACCCAGATGATTGAATTTGTGCCTCGAATCTCTCAAGCTATTCTACCTAATTTACCTGACGCCGGCAGATATCGGCTATCGATGGCCGATATGTATAACCACTGTCCAAATAATCCGTTGGGCGACGATGAAAGAGGGTCACGATACACTAGAAAGTCTCAGCTGCTTCCTTCAAACCGCGTTACAAAAAGTGAGCAAATTTGAAAAGATAAAAGTTCAAATTAAAGGCTTTGTAATACTTTAAATTAGACAAAATAAGAGCATACCCCAGTAATGTAAAAGGATCTCTCCAATTATTATGCTTGTCATGGATGAAAAACTTTCTGAGATGAACACTTGCTTAAATTGGGAAAGTCCAGGGCTAAACGGGTATTGGATGGATGTCTGGTAAAGATTTGTCTTCCTGCGATGAAGATGACACAGCGTGCTCCCAAATACCACCAGTTACTCAGGAACTTCGTTGTGGTAGGCATTTCGGAACGAACTTGACTATGAATTTGTACACATTATATCGGACATGAAATGGTATATGAATGGCCAACTTGGGGGAGTTCTCGACGAGGGGGAAACTACTACCCTGGTTGCCCAATATGAACTAAAGTGCTCGATGTACGCGCCGCATAAATTCTGTAGCAAATCGATTTCAACATAATTCCACACCGTTTCTGAGTTACACTTTCAACAGGGCCACAAATTCTCGATTCCCCCGAATAAGAAGTCCCGAATACCCGAAAATAAGGCTTGCACGGGTATCCCATCCGCATTACGGCCGATTGCTTTATGATTATTTCCCGGCAATTAAGAGAATTTATTGGCAAAGGTAAACACTCGCCAGACACAGATGCAGATACAATACAATAGCATCCGTAGATATCGACTCGACGCACTCGAAATCATCGGCGCACACACATCGACTCCACTATTACTATTTCTATCAATGCCGATGGGCTCATCGGAAATCAATTTGTTTAATGCAGTGGGGAGGGGGGGTGGAGGTGGAGGTGGAGCTGGCCCAAGAATCGAAGTCCGGGCCTGGGCGAAAGTGTTAACCGAAACTAAAGTGAGCCGGGCCACAACTTATTCCACTTGAGCTGATTTCTTGAGCGATTTACGCACAGCCAAAAACATAAAACTTCCGCAATTGCCACGGCAACCTCTCGAGGAGCTTTAAGAAGTTCCACAAGTCTGCGGTGGGATTCCATCAAAAAAGTTTCAAGCTTTCATTTCCTTTGTCACTCCACGGGAAAGCCGAGGGAAAATTGGAATGGCCAAAGTTTCCTGCCAGCAGGTGGTCCCAGCCTCTCGAAAGGAACTCTAAATCTTTCGGATCTCCCAGACATGCCTTCCAAACTAAAGTTCGCAATCAACCTGGCGTCAATCATTCGGCCCAGTCGTGAATTATGGTTGAGTATATATGCTATTTGCCCCTCGAACAACACTCTTCAGCGGATATTGATCAAAATTCATTGCAATTCGCTTGATTGATTGATGGCACCGCCCATATATCCGGGGCCAAGTGGTATGCTCTGTTTTAGGAGCCACCGAATGAATGAACCCGAAGCCAACGTAAACAGACACTTTGGAAGTGGGAACGCGGATCTTGATTGAAGTCTGTTGTTTCAACTGTCGATCGAACACGAGCGACTGCCAGTCCATCGACGGATATCACTTTATTGGCCGATTTTCGGGGCAGCTAGCGCCAATTCTGACAGTCTGACGGAAGTTACAGCATATTGATTTTGTTCTAAGAAATGATTGGGCATTCTTTATTTTATATTTTTATTCAAGTTAGTGTTATGTTCTAAAGGCAGATTTTGACAATTCTTATTACAAGATATCGCGAAGACCGCTTTCAAATGTAAAGTGTAAGTAAATGCCTTAAACATTTTTTATCAATTAATACATTTTAATTAAATTTAATAAAAACGTTTTTTAATTCATTGCACTTTATAAACTTATTAAGAAAACAAAGTGGTTATGTTTATTGTTTTGAATTACTTTTTAAATTTAAAGTATAAATTAGTGTTTACATTTAATTGTTGTGGGAGATAAATAAACCACTTTTTTAAATGTAAAAAAAACAAAAACCATTATTGATTCAGTTCGATTAAGAAACTTAATAATGAAAACTTCAGTGGGCAGGAAAAAAGGTATAGATTTGCAAGAACGGCTTATGAATGAAATGTCAACATCCTCCTTCTATTGAATTCCATAGAGAAACCCAACTTTATTCAAATTAAAACGTTTAAAATTTAAATGATAAAAAATTAGACTTTCCCGTATTTTTCTTAGAAGCATGATTCACTTTGGAGGATTGTGTGATTAATAGCCACTCCAGTTTCACCTGACATATGCCAAGCTTTTAGAAAAAACTCCAGCAAGGTGAGCCCCACGCTTTTTTCCTCCTACTGAATTGACTTCCCAAAAAAGCCAAAGAAAATATGGGAAATAAAAACGGTTGAAGAGGCAGAGAAAAAAGTGGGAAATTGTTTGAGGCAAATTTATGAGCTTCGCTTAAGCAAGGCAACTGCGTCTGGTTAACGCTCCCCCGATGTGCTCGCTATGTATGTATATATATTTATGTACCGTCCGTGGTCGGTGGAGGGGCAGGGGGAGGGAGTTAGAGCCACTCCACTCCACCATTGACCATTTTGCATGAAAGCCCCGGTTCCCAAACGAAAATATGTCCGAGGCGAAGGGGCAGCCAATGACGACAAAGAGTTCCCAGTGCCAGGGGTTCCTTACAAAATGTCTGCAAATTTATTAAGCTGAAAAAATTTTATGAGTTGAATTGGTATAATTTTCATATAATTTTTGAGAAAGAAGCGAAATGGAACGCTGCCAGACGGCGGCTACGGTCAACTTCAACCAGTTGAGCCAGCGGGGGGTTAAGCGCCACACACACACACACACACCTCTGCGAAAGTGTTTGTATCTGTGTGTGGGAAATGCAAATGTCTGGGTGGCGGTCGAAGGAGAAGGGTCTGCAATGAATGAATGTGGCCTGGGAAGAGGGCAAACGCAAACTCGGAGGCAATGCCACAACACTGAAATACTCCGAGATACTCTGGCTCACACAGATACTCCACACAGACACAGGGGCTGTCCGGTCTGGAGGCTTGTAGATGAATTTGTATTGTTTTGCATTTGCTTTTGGGGCGCTACTTTGTTTTTGCCTCCGCTTTCGCTTCGCTTCTTCTTCTTTGCCATTCCATTTCGTTTTTGTTTGAAAGGAATAATACAGGGTTGGTGGAGTTGTTAAGCTGCCATTGCAAACAATTAAAATCATAAGAGACGCACATAAATTATTCATGGCTTAATCTAAAGTGGACAATCTATGCAAAGTACCAGGGCACTCACACACACACATGGATATCTGCTCGAACACTTGTTTATCCCCCCTGCCCCTGCCCCTCACCGCTTCCCTCCACCCACACATTGATGGCCATTTTTGATATTTTGCCAATCCTCGCCTCGCTCTCGTTTCGTTTTAATTACTCATAAACGAAGGAAATAATTGCATTCAAGTAGCCACCTTTTGTTTCGGCCCTTTCGTTTTGCTTGTGCTTTGATTCCGTTTTTGGCATTTAAAAGAGACAACGAAACGGAGGGGATTTAGTTACCAATTTTGAGTTTTATTTTTGCAGGAAATGGAAGTTAATCAAGGCAATTGTGCAGCGTTTTTATAACTCAACTTTAAAAACATTGAGCAAATAAATATTCTTAAAACTACACATTACTTGTCTTGTCTGAAATAAATAAACTCATATGTAAATAGAAATTGGTTGCTGAGTTATTTCAAAAATATGAACAAATATTTCAAAAATTCCTGATATACATTTTTGGTTTCTAACTAAAACTAAGCTTTTGAAAGGATTTCATATAAAATACAACTAAGATCTGTGCTAATTTATTTCTCTCACAATTTAAGCATCTTAATGCCCCTTTAGTAAGCAGCTTTAATTAAATTGCTTCGAGTTTGTTTAATTTTTATGATATAGATTCTACAATTATAATCAAATAGAAATGTCCGAATTCTTATTTTTTCTGTACTTTCATTAGCTATATAATAGGATCAATTAGTTTTAATTTAAAATGATTTTATCGTATTGAATTCCAGTATTTATTGAGTCTATACATTTTCAAGTTAATTTCATCGATAATTAGTCATTCCGCAGCATGTCATGTGGATCCGGAATAAAATCAAATTTAGTAAATGGATTTCGTTATTAATTCAGTCGAGTTTTGCGTTATTCATTTCCGTAATTTAGCAAAAGCCAGCCAAGCCCAAATTTGTTTTGATGAATATGAATTGAATTTGGTTTATTACCCCGAACAAAACAATAAAAAAGGCAACTCAACATCGGGCAGGTTCTAACCGTGTTAGAATGGAATTCAACTAATAAACTTGCGCAGCGAATAAGCAATAAAAATTCAATTTTATTGAATTAGCGAGCGGAATTAAATTGAAAATTCACAAATGCAGAAATGCATGATATAGCTGCATATTTGAAGACCCCGATGAACTGAAATTCGGGAGGGGGGGTGCAGATGGATTGATATATAGACGGATAGATGCATAGATAGATTCGCATGTGTCAGCTTCAATGGCCCACATTACAGAATCACGCTGCGAATAATAAAAACATTTTCACCAAATATTCGCATTCAAAAGCAACAAAATATGCCGCGATCTATGGTCGGAAGGGGAAGGGTGCATCTGATAGATACATTTTTATATAGCGTCTATGGCCGCACATTTCTGTCATAACAGAAAATAAATATTTCATCCGTCCTGTGTCCGCTTGACTCGTTTGTTTCAGTATTCCTCGCTGTCGTCGTATTTATTATTAAAATGAAAATAAATTTTATATCAAATATATAAAGCCAAGTGGTAGGCGAGAAAAATGAGAGATAGACAGGCCGCCTGAAAAGCGCTTCGAATTTTTACAAATGAATTTATTGCCAAGCCAACGAGGAGGGTACAAAAAATAGAAGCTCTTGGTCGCTGAAATGAAATCGCGCGACTCATAAATTAATTAAAACAATAAAACAATAAATGCACGAGGAGAATTTCTTTGGCCCCTGTCTATATGTCTTAATATCTTTGTATCTTTTCATCTGTTTTGCAGCAGAGAGCATGATGGTGAATTATTTATGCCGGGCATGCGTTGCATCAATTGTGACTTGATTGAACTGTTCTCCCAGCTGCACTTGCCCCATGTTTCCCTGTGTCTTTGACACACTGACTTGACACCTGTCATCTTTTCGTTTAACCCTAGATGGGCAATGTCCCTGAAAGACTTTCTCCTCCCCCAGAAGTCGAGTTGCCTCCCATTTGCCTCCGAGTTTCTATGTTAATTTTCTTCTTGACATGCTCTTGCCGATGTTCCGTTGGCTTCGGATATTGTTCGACTTGCTCATGTTGTTGTCATTGCATAACAAGCACACACAGCCACATCCCTGTCATATCCCAGGGCCCAGAATCCGCATCGAACATCTCCGGCAGTCGACGAACCCACTACGCCCATGTCGACTGCCCCCTTTGACCCCGCCCCCATCCTCCACTCGAGTGTCCACCTTTGGGGCACAAAGTAGTTGTATTTATGTTAACTTTGACATAAGCTCAACATGCAACTTTCGGGCTGCTCCGTTGCAGTTGCATGTCCTCGCATAAAGTGTCAAAGTTAAATAATCTAGCCACTCCGAGTCAAGGGGAAAATGGAAAGATGGGGGAAATGGGGGGGTTAGGGGTGCACTACGGAAAAGTGGCCCCAGGCTCAATTTCGATCTTGTGCAATATGTATTCCCCAATTTGTAGGTTACTCAGATGGCAAGTGTATTTGTTAACATATACATATATCGAGGCAAATTCATTTGTGTGCGTCAAGAGGAGTCACTAGCCATGAGGATATATGTATATGATAAATATATTTGTTGGAATAATATAGTTATTAGTATATTTTGTTTCAACTAAAATGGTGTTTTTTTTGACTCAAGGAGAGACACTCAAAGTTGGCAATTGGAACCAAATATTCAATACAGAAATACCTACAAGTAATGGAATGTATTATTAGGAATTGAAAAAAAAATATAATTACACAAACAATAAAAAATGAGTAACTTAGTAGGTATTTGTTTTATTGTTGAACAATTTTTAAAAATTAAAAGGTTTATAAATATTTGGTTTGCTTAAGTTCAGTTTGGACTTGAAAGTTTAATTCAGGGTTTTAAAATGTACAGCCAGACTGTTTAAATATAGCAAGTTGAAAAGGCAAAGAAGACATTTTGGGGTAAAAATTGTAATTCTGTCATGAAGAAAACCCGCTTTACTTTTCTTCATAAAACACATTACGCATCTACCAAATTAAAGTTTCCTAACCCTCATCTGAACATAAATAAATCGAAGGAAATGAGGAACTAAGTTAGATTCCTCTCCAACATTAAGGGGTTGAAACCTGTCACAAAATCACCAGAATTATTCAAGACTTAATAGCCATTATATCTTGTGAATTTTATTACTTGAATTTCCGGAACACAACACCACTTATTTAAAGCAGTTTTATGGTCATGTGTTAGTTTTTGTTAACAGACAAAAATCTTTAATAACTTAAAGATAAAGTAAACTTTGAATTTCTTCAAAACTAATTTCCTCTACAAAAATTACTTATTTAGGGAGTCAAACGAACGTCTTCAACGTCTCTTTATGTTTTGAGACTATTCAACTCGATTTGAAATTTTGAAATCCTATTCTAAAGTACTATTAAACGAATCAATTTTAAATACACAATAAAGTTTGAGGAATATGCCTTTACGCATTTATTATTTTTGCTCATTTACGCGTTAGAAATCCAGAATAATTTCTCTGCAAAACTAATTTAATGTATTTAATTCGCAATCTTTGCAGTCCGATAAAAACTATTATAGCCGTATTTACAACTGGTTGAATAGGCTTTTTTATCTTGTACTAAAGTTTTTATACGCAATTAAATATCGTCTTTTTGAAGTAGCTTTAAAAAGTTTAAAGATTTCATGTGAAGTTTTGAATTTTTAAGTTCGGTATAATTCTAAGTTTGTTGGAAAGAGAAAGTAAATAGCGTGGCTTTAACAATTTAAGATTTATCTGTTATTTACTTAAATACTTTACAATTAGTACTGCTTTGCTATTTTCTGTATTTACATACAAGTTAATTTAACTTAAAGTTAGTCAGTGTCAGGTTAGAAATTAGTTAATAAAAATTAAAACTTTTCAACATTAATAATTTTGGACTCACCTAGTTTGGGCGCGCCTTGCTCCTTTTGGCAGCTTTTCCTGTTACTATCCTTTCGTCACCATCTTTTTTGGGATAAAGTATCTCACGGATGCCGACGGCAAAGCAGAGTGTTTGTTTTCGCACAGGATTTAGTTGGGTCCAAAATCGAGTTTATTGCACATTATCCCCCCTCTCGGCGTCCCCCTCCCACTCTCCCGTGCTCTCTCCTTCTTAATTTCGGTTTTGTATTTGTTGTTTTTATGTTTTTTTGTTTTTCTTGGCGAGTTACTTTTTACTTTTGCGGTTTCTGATGTGGATTTTATGATTAATTAAACACGCGCGACCGCTCAGCCCACGCACACACACACTCACGCATGCCCCCGCCCCCCGCACGCACACCACTGCGTGTCCGTGTGCGCATACACATATACGTGTATGTATATGTATATATGCGTAAGCAGCGGAGGCGGCGGTAATAAAAACGCACTGCGGTACCGTTAAACGCTAGGAAGTGCCAATCTTTTGGGCTCAGGCTCTGGTTCTGGCTGTGAGTTTCAAGTTGTGAAGTTCTGGGTTCTGGGAAAGGCGCTCTCGACTGGCAGGCTGCTTTTTGGCTCGCCGACTGAAACTATGGCCAAGAATCGAAATCGGAATCGGGAATCGGAATCTCGAATCGAATCTCGGGCTGAAACGAGTCCGAATCCGAAAACGAAACCGAGCGAGCTGAGCAGAACGACGAGGCGGCGACGTCGGAATGTCCTTTTTGGTTTTGCCTTTTGGCGTTTGGCTGGTGCGAGTGCGAGTGGCGCCCCCGCGCGGCCGGAGAGCAAATGGCGGCAAGTGGCGACTGAGGCAGCGACGTCCTGCGAGCCGGAGCGTCGACGGCGCTCTATGGAAAAAAAACAGGAGTTGCCCAACGTGGCCGCCAAAATTCGCAGCAGCGAAAGCTTCTCTGCCGCTCTCTCCACTGCTCGCTGTCGTTCGCTCTCTCTCTCTGCCACTGTTATCGCCTAACAGTTGGGGAAATGGCGTATAAGACTGCAGTTCGAATGTTAAGTCACCCGCAACACCATCTGTTAATCAAACAGCCCCTATAGCTGTGCTCCTCTAACCTCTCTCTCGCTCGCGAGAGAACGGAAAAAATGGGGAAAAAAATATAAAGTAATCCAACGAACGTCTTCGTTTTTTATGAACGTGCGCAGCGGATCGGCAAATAAATAAAAATCCAAACATATATAGCAAATTATGACAACTTTAGGCGGAGCAACGGCGACGTCGACGTCGACGCAGGCCCTTATTTTTTTGAGACTCCTCGTTGGCTCGGCATCCCAATCATATTTTTCCTTTATGTGCTGGGTCCTCCTCGCTGCTCCTTTTATTTATCCATATTTCCCTTATGTCAGTTCCCTCCACTGCTCTTCTTCTTCTTCTTCGACGGCGTCTTGGCCGCCGATTGTCCTTTTTCGCAGCAGGGATTTCGGATTGGCTAGCGATTTGCCGACGGGAATTTCACATGGCAGCAGATTTCATTGAGTTGGGAATTTTATTGAGATATTCGAGTAGCAGAAACTATTTATGCTGAACCTTAGAACTTACTGAACTTTTGTTGCAAATATATTTCATATTGTAGTTTCAAATAAGTTTTTGATATATGATTTTATCGATGTGTAATTACTAATACTTAATTAATTACTAATACTTTTTTTATGTCATTTTAAACTATTTATTGAGATGTATAAAATAGTTGCGGCCCAACAATATAAAGCCTATTCCATTCACTATTATTACAAGAAGCTTTTTCATGCCATGATGTGGATATCTAAAAATTATTATAAGAAATCAAAATTGCAAGGCCTAAAAATATTAAACAATATTTGTTTTCTTGTTGCTTTCAATACAGTTTTATATTTTTTAACTTTGATTTACTTAGGACTATTATCGATTTAAATGTCTTTTTAATAAAAACCAAAAAAGGTATCAGAAGAAAAATAATGAAAATTATTTGTTAAGACAACAAAGAACATGCCAATTTAATTATCTTTGTTATCTTCACAAATAATTTTACATATTTACTTATCAGATGTTAAATGATTAAGTCAACCGAGTGCTAATCTAGATTGAAAATCTAAAATCTCAGAAACCAGTGCACAGATATTCCTTAAAATACTTTACTGTAGCACTTTGTTGTGGAAAATTATAAACAATTAAGGTTTTTATTATAAGAAAAACATAGGAGATTACCAGTCCCAAACCCTTGAAATATCTTCCAAAGGTTAGCATGAATAATGCATATGCGATTGTCCCACGATTACTGTACATTTCATTCAATTCGATTCGATTCGATTGGATTTGATTTGATTTCAGTTCGGTTCACTTCGATTGAGTGCATCACGTACAGCATGCACATACTATATGTATCTGGAAATCTGCATGATATCTACATGGCAACCCTAAATATTCACCATGGAAGGGGTAACAGCTGCCACTTATGATTTACTAAAAAACAACTCAGTGGCAACAAAAATTTCAAAATGGTTGATATAAAAAATGAATTGAAAAATGAAAACGAAACCGAATGAAATGATCAAACAAAGAACACACGCAAAGCAAACAGTGTTGCGTCCACATTTCCCAACCCCCGAGAACATCCCTACTCAAAAATTCAGGTCCTGCCCACCTATACATGCGTAAATGATGATATCAAATAATAACTAACCCTCTCCCTTGATCCCTCTTATTGATTTTGGCAAATTACCAGTCTGTACATGGTATTAATATTACAATACCATTTAAAATTCATTTTTTAGAAATAGAAATAGAAATAGAAAGGGAATGAAAGGCATATAGAAATAGGAAAAAGATGGCAGCATCACTCCACAGACACAAAGTCTGAAAAGTCGGCCCCCCCTAAACCTATATCATCTATCACAAAAGAAAACCCCCAGGAAAACGAAACCGAAGCCGTAACCCATTCGATCTTCAGTTCGAAGATCTTTTCTTTTTTAATAATGATGGCGGTGTACCCCTTTTCCCTCTCACTCCAGCAAATGCAACAGAGCGAGAAAGCAAGTGGCATTTCTATGCAAATCATTTCAAAACTTGTTTTACTTCCACCGATTTTTGATGACGCCGATTTGTCTCCACAATCATAAAAATCGTTACCGAAAAACAGAAAAGTTTAGAGAAAAAAATGAATAGAAAGAAAAACAAATCAAAGAATTTTTCCGACCAGTACATAATTAAATTTTGGAATAAATTATTACTACACATTTTGAGCAGCAAATGCGACAAATCTTCGCTTGACCCTCACCTCTAGACCGAAACCTCTTCAAGGAACCTGCTGAACATCTTTTATAATTTCGGTTTCCCTCATTTTTTCCTCCCATTTGTGATAAGAAAACGTGAGAAGGTTAGGAAAGGTTATGGGAGATGTCGGTGGGATCTGAGAAGGAAGAGGGTTTCGTTATTTTGGGAAATAATATTTTATTTGGGATCAAAGTTGCTGAGAATTGAATTTATAATATTATATTATGTGGTTTGGTTTTCTTGGCACAAGTTATTGTTGCCCAAATATCCCAGCTTAAAGAAAGATGTTTCTAATTTAAATACATAAACTTGGTATTTCCACATGTAACTTTAATAATATTATTTAAAGTTTTTTTTCTCATACAAATCAACATCGATTTAAGCCATAAATACGAGTAGATAGATAAATATTTTTTTGGTCACGTCTAATTGCCTGACTCATTAAGCACTCAGCCCTAAGTTGAGTTCTAATTCCAAACCCTTCTCCATCTCCAACATCAATAAAATGTAAAATGCACGTCGCTCGTTTGATCAAGATCGTTCGCCTGGGTCTTCAATATATTATATATCACGTGTGGCGGGAAATGAAATAAAATAAATTGAAATTGAAATTAAAGCTGGAAAAGTTCTGTATTTTTATTTTTCTCATTTGCCGTAAAATTAAGTACTTACCAGTACCGATGGTTCTTTTTGTCTGCGTGTGGGTTGAATGGGTTTTTGATATGTTTGGAGTGATTTATGTTAACGATGACACTTTAAGGGGAATCGATACATACTTTAGGTTTGGGTTCCTTAGGGTTTACTTTAAATGTAGATTCTCTTTTCTGGTCAGTTGATTTTAGAATTATAACAAACGATTTTATGTTAAATAAAATTATATTTGAGATACCTTTGGTTTTTTAAGAGTAACTTTTATTCTACATTTCGGTATGGTCATTTGATATCCATTCTTCATTTGTATTGTATTTTTTGTATTTTAAGTTTATTATTTTACTTGCAAGAAAATGTATTTTGCACATTTTTGTAGCCATTTGTTATTTTCTTAAAGCTTTGTGTTTATTCTTTGCTTAAATTTAAGTTTATAGAAAATACATAACATGTTTGAGGTTTTCTATAAATTAGAACTCTGCTTTCTGATCAATTGGCGTTTACTCTTTATCTTTTGTATTTCTAGCAATTTCTATTATTTTTGTTTTCCTTCAGCTCTTAGAAAATATGAGGTGCTGCTTTCTATTATTGTTTATTTTCGATAGCCTTGTTTTATTTCATTGATAATACATAACCTTTCGCAGAGACTTGCTTTCTCAATTTCCCAGTGCAAAGAAAATTTAATTTTGCTGAAAAACACGGAGACAAAACCCGAAAACTGGCAAGCCATTTAAGAGTTGACCTTGTCTCGGGCTGATTGTGGGCGGTGGCGGGTTTTTGGCTCCGGCACTTTGGGCCATTTACCCGATTGCGTTTAATCGATTTCTTTGTAAACTGGAAACCAATGTCAACAGCCTCGCACAGATAACCTCACACAAATAAACAAATTCCCGGCTGGCAAAAAGGAGCCGAGGAAATTTGCTTCTTTCGAGCGAGAAAACATTTACACACTTAAACGAAGCAAAAGAATTCCTTGTGGGGCGGCATAAAATCTATATGGCAAGGAAAACTAAGAAATTGTAGTGCAAAGAGCGAGGGAGAGCGAAAAGGATACAGTGCCCGGACAGGACTTCCTATTCCCCGCCTCCTGGGGCGACTTTTCGCTTAGGTAAATACACAAATACACAGTTTGTTTGTGCGAGGGAGAGCTGCAAAATGTATCTGTTGGATACACGTCGAGTGGCAGTGCTGTCCTTGTTTGGCGCCCATTTTAAAGTGCCTCCATCGATTTTTTCACTCGACAAAACTTTGACTCATAACTCAACTTTTGCGGCTGCCATTGGCAATTAACACGCCCACTCCGCGCCCAGCGAACCATCATCGTTTCGAATACTTAATGGCAAATTTATGTGGCGCTGCATTCTCGCCTAATGAAAATGGAATTCATAAAATAAAGCAGCATAAAACATTTGGGGGGACTTGACTCGTGGCAGACACATGTTCCATCGGGGCAGATCACTAAAGTCCCGCCCCAGCAGATGTGGAAGAAGTTCTTGAATTGATTGAGGAATTTCCAACTCACATAAATTATATGAATCATATTTTAAAATCTGTTAGGCAAATATGTTCATCTGATTAAGGGCCTCCAGGAATTCTGCGGCAAGTGATTGTGGCAACATCAGAGAATCTAATATTTCATCTTTAATTATTTCTCAAACTGTAGTTAGTCACATATTTTAGTTGCTTTAATAAATTTAATAAAGTAAATAAAATAATAAAGTTAATAAAATAATAGTAAATCGCTTATATGTGAATGTTCTGCTCATTTAATCAAGGTAAATATTATTTGTGAAACTGATGTAAATGAATAAACAAACTCTTAACTTAAAAGTGCTGTAATAAAATATGCTTTTTAACTTAAAATAGCTTTATTTAAACACTCTTAAACTTGACCTAGCAAACAGTATCTTTAACTCGCATT